ACAGTCTCTGATAAAAAATTTTTCAATAATGTCTTTCATAGTTTTGTTTTATTTATCAAGGATGACACATTGATTTAAATCCTAATATCTATTTTCTTTTATTCTAGAACAGGTTCTACCTTTGCTTTTTTTCCCTCTCTTTCGTGTCTCTCCCTCTCTCTTTCAATGTTCCATTCCTTCATGACATTGACTTTTCTTAGAAGTCCATGACAATTTTTAAAATGAGACATTCAGAAGGATTGTGTAAGTTTCTTCAGCAAAGTTCTGATGAACAGATACATGCATAGAGTAAGCTTTCAGGGTAGTTAGGTTTAGGCAGGATTGTGACTAGGAAAAAAAAAAGAGAAAGAATTTAAGGCAATAGTAAGGGAGTTCTGATGAAAGACCATCATATTTAAGCTGGTAAGGGAGAACCTGAGGGGAGTGATAATAATAGTTTATAGTTCACTAGAGGCCTCTACAATGTGTATAGAAAGTGAAAGAATCGGATTAGTAACTTGGAAAATAACACGAAACAGTGAATATGTTGTTTTTCACCTAATATGTCTGTCTGAAAGCCCGGTTTTTATGTGTGGGGTAAAATATGAGAGCTAGACCTCATACATAAAGCTATTTTATGAGTACCATTGCTAGAATGGTATAACTTGTATATATGGATTTGTAAAGTTTTGTTTTTTTTTTTTTTAACCATAAGTTGACTTTAGGTTACACCTTCTAGGAGGAGCACCCATATTTTCATGCTTTATTACACTGCCCATATCCCTAGCAAATAGAAGATATTTGTGGAAAGGTGACTGCCACGTGGACCCAAAATGACTAATGAAGTCATTATCACGTCCATGGTGGACCTGAGAAGAGAAGCAGAGCACTCACACACTGTTGGCATCTCAGCCAAGTTGAGTGCTCCTCAAATCACACAATGCCTGTCACTACCTAAACCACATGCACATCAGACAGTCTGCAGTTTAATAAACATTTCTATTTCCATTACTCCACTCTGTGGCTTCTAGCCCAGCCAAGCCTGACTTTGATATACGTGGCTTTCCCGGAAGGATAAATTCTCAGGGGTGTGTGCCCTCAGCAGAAAATTTCAGGGGAAGAAGGTACATGGTAACTGAAAGCCATTTATTATCACTTAACTTTCTTAATCACAGACACAAAGCTTTGGCTTTAATGGATGTAATAAATGCTGGCCCCGACTCCTGTCCTCAAAACTATTGAGCAACATATCTCCAAGAATGCAGATTGTTCCTGACTTTGACGTTCTTCAACATCATCCTCAAAAGACAACAGTCGTTCGATGTCCACAAGGTTTTCTTTCTATATAGTGTTCTATTAATACTGTTGTTTTCCTTTGTTTTATTTTGTTTTTAAAGAAGTGATAAAGGCTGAAAAAGGAAATAAGAATATTATTATTTTTAAAAACAAAAAGCTCTCTATGAGAGAGAAACATAATGATAAGGAAAATAGACACTGAAAATTATTTTTCTTTCATTTTGTATTAAGAAGTTACTGTGCTTTCTTTTTTTTGGATACAGTTGGTGAAACAGAACTATTACAGTAGTGATGTATGCTATTTAAATAAACTACTCCCCTGAATTATTGAATTGGCTTCAGAAAACGATCCCAGCAAAACATCTACATTTCACTGTAACTTCATCTTAATTTATACCAGAAGCCTTCTGAAGTCTTCACATTAAGTTTTAATTCACTAACACTTTCATCTTGAAAAAGCTGGTAGGCCTGAATTGGAATTGGGTGTGTAGGAAAGATACACAATTCAGTGAGCCCCAGAAAGAACTAAATACAAGCTTCAAGTGCCCTCTTGTGGCTGCAAAACAGAGTCACCAGATATAATTTGATGTCTAGACTAAACCAACACATGCCAAATTTCTCTATTGCCACTAATTATTTATTTAAAGAATTTATCAATAATTTACCATGTCAAGAACTGAGGATTAAAAAATAAATAGGACATAGTATATGTCATAGAGAAGAGGGCAAAAATGACTACAGATAATTTCAACCCTTCCTGTTAAGTGCTATATGGTGATATTTTATTTCAATAGCTGTGTTGGTCATCTTTATTTTTGTAGGTATTCTCATGGCAATTAATATTAGGTAAAAATTCCTTTAAAAGAGCTATTTTCCATACAAGTTTAATTCATGTACTGGATCTATATAAAACTAGAAATCACATAGTATATGGTTACTCATTTTTAGAATTCTTTTTAGGATCCTAAATGAGAACTCGTATTGATTTTTCTGATTATTCTATTAATGATATATAAAGTATTATTTATTATTTTAGTTACTGCCAGGTCAACATTATTATATCTGTTATTCAGATACGGGAACTGAGGTAGAAGTGTCAGTCTTACTTGGCAATTTAGTATCATAGCTGAGACCAGTACCCGCAGTTAAATTGCACCCATTTGTTTTCTTGGTAAATTCTTCCAGTGACTTTTGGGTTTTTTCTAATGGTAAAATGAGGGGTTTTATGAAGTCACTGAGCAACATTAGATATCCATTTATAAGAAGGGTTAAGCATGCACACACCCTGTATCACTTCCAACATCAGCTACTGAGCAGCTGTCACAGCTCTCTTGAGTTGGATGGAACTTTTTATCAAGTTATGAAAAGTCCCATATCCAATTACCAATCCCCAGCATCACCAGCCCTGGTTTGGCACTGCTCAACTAAATGATACACTTGTAATGCCAAAGCAAAGTGATTACATAAATAATTTAGTTGGGTCTTCTTTAATTCTATACAAGAGAAGATTACAGCAATCCTAATTAGTATTTTACTCACCCAGTGCAGTCATGTAGCAGGATCCCTATTGAATTTCTAACATTGAGCATGACAGTGTGAAAAGTTTTCAAAGAATATATTCCTACTTTACATAAATCAATGATGTGAGTCAAGATGTTCACAAAGTTGTTTTATTTGAAAGGTATCAATGGTTCTGGATACAAACTACAGGACTTATGTCAAAGAACCATAAAGGTAAATATGGGGGAGCTCTCAGCACTACCATTTTTTTAAAGTAGGGATTGTAGAGAGGACAGAAAAGCTCCCAGAGTGGGAGGGGACCCGAGGGGGTTGCCCAGCAAGAAAATTTTAAAGCTATGCTCTTTAGTACTTTCACTTGCTGTATTTTCAATTCAGCTATTTGTAAATTTCATTTCAAAGTATTTTCATGTTATTTTGATTTTATTTTTTTTTTGAGCAATTAAACTAGTATCTCTGAGAAAGTTTGGTTAGTTTCACATATACAGTACTATGAAGTGAGAGTTACCTGTTATTTCTAACATTCCCTGTGTACCACTTAATATTTTCATTTTGATAATAGGTAGAATGAAGAGCATCCCATTATTACATTAGAACACTGTTTTATAAGAGATAGAATGAAACAAAAAACCATTTTGGATGGGTTTTGTGATTGTGTATAGCTCATCTTAGGCTCAAAACTTTATACAATTAAGCCCAATTGGTTCAAAGACTACACTTAAAATTGAGATTCATCAGTAAAGTTGTTATTTATCTCTGGAATGATGAACCAAAAATTCTCAACTACACCCAATGTATTGTTAATTTATGCTCCCATAATGTTCATTCACTGGTTCATTCCTTGAGTCCCTCACCCATTCATCCAAAAATAAGCATCAAAGAAGTCATGTCTCCTCCTCTCCAGATGTCTGCAAAACGTCAAGAACCACTGTGTTGAGGTGGAATTATACACAGTTGCTTCTTAGAGAAACTAACAGTGGTGGGGAATCTAAGTCTGACAGAGAAAACGTCAGACTGTTTTAGCAACTCAAAGTTGAACTTTGAAGGGTAAGTAGTAATGATACATAGAAGGGAAGGAATTTCTAGGATAATAGATTTTCAAAGGGCTTTAGGGGTTCAACATAATACTCAGGGACTCTGCAGACTAACTAGAGAAGCAAGTAGTTGTCAGACCAAGAAAGGCCTCGGTGTTACCGCTGCTTGAGTATCATTCTACATTGAGAAATTTCCAGTAGGAAAATAAAATAGTCAGACTTGAATTTTAGTAAAGCCACTTAGGCAATAGTGTGGAAGATATTGAAGGAAGCATGGATACAACAGCAAGGGAATAATAGGAATCTATTGCAATAATCTGGGCTTAAACTAAGACAGTTAAGGACAAGTAGTGGACAATTGAGCCTTGCTATACTCAGTGTTCCTCAATCAGCACCGTGAGCACCAAACAGGGACTTGTCAGAAATACAGAATCATGTGCCATGCCTTTAGAATCAGCATTTTAGCAAGCTCCTCAGGTAATCTATGTATTTGGGAAGTACCATTCAGAGATATTATAGCCAGTGCTGCTAGTGTGTGTCTGAGGTATCACTATTATAGGTATGGTCAGTCAGAAGTGGTTGTGGGATATCCAAAATAGCTGAATAGCAGGTTGGGCATATGGATCTGGAGGCTGGAATGAAGTCTGGTTTGGAGATGTAATTAAGCAGTTATCGACCTGTTGGTATTTGAAGTCATGGTCTGACCCATTTCCGGAGATTTGGCCAGGAAAAATATATTGTTAGGCAGAGGGCCCAGGAGGGAGCCTTAAGAAACATCATTATTTAAAAGTCACATACAGCAAAAGATATTCCACAAGAAATAGAAGAAATTTCCAGTGGCAGGAAAAAACGATGTGAGGAGTGGAAAGAGTTCCAAGTGGCAGAACCGTCAACATTCTCATTTTCCAGTAGAGATCACATAAGATTAGACAAGAGTCCATTGGATTTGGCAATCCTGATGTCAGAGTAAAGCTAATGGGTGAAGATTATTTCCCAGTAAGTTCTTTCTTGACCTTAGCATGTGGGGATGCAATTTAGAGATTCTGCATTCAAAGTTCAGACGAGTAGAGTATGTGGAAGGAGCTTGGTATGGAGTCAACTTGCAAATGTTCTCTCTTCCATTAGATGGCAAACTCTTTGAAGTATAAGGAAGGCACGTAAAGATGAGGAAGACCCCGTCTTAACCCTCAGAGTTTATATAAACAATAAGACAACTGCAGTACAAGATGGGGCATTACAATTTATAAAACATGGGGATTCAAAAGAGAAAGACACCATATGCAGACAGTCAGAAAAGGCTGCTTACGTCTCAGCTGTTAACACAGAGAACAGCACATATTAAATACTTAAACTATATTAATTGCTTTCTCTCTCAACAGATCTGGTAAATTAGTAATAAAGACAAAGTCCCATTTATTCCAAAATCCAAGCAAACTTCAAACTTATTCATGAGATATTTATTAAAATAACACATTTAGGGAAAAAAATCAATACAATGTATACATCATTACTGAAAACTGTATACCATCATACAAAAAAGGATTTTGTTTTGGGAAATTGATTTCTAATTTATGGCAAGTTTTACTTTCAGAAATAAAACCACAGAACAACACAATCTAATTCAATCTTAAAGGCTGGCATGCTGAGCAAGGAATGTTCTTATTCTTTGTAGGAGCTCCTTCTTTACACTGTCAGGTACCAGGGCTGAAATACAAAAAGAAAAAAAGTAAGAAGAAAAAGATTCCAATTAATATATGTGAACTTAAGATTTGACACTTTATTTAGGATTGCCAATAAAATAATTTCACAAATAACACTCATGGTTCAGTTAAAAGACAAAGATATCTAAAAACAAGTGTATATTTGCAACACATTATTTTAATGTACTATCCAATACCTAAATACACTGAATGTTGCTGAGAGGAAAACATAATTTTATAATCTTGGAGCAAAGAAGACCATTTTAAAACCCAGAGGCTATTGCAGATTGATACATTTGATTAAAACACAATAATAACTTACGTTTGATCAAAATTACCATAAGCAAAGCCAGGAAATAAAAACTGGGGAAATGCTCTTATAGAAAAGGGCTTCTCTCTCTACTATACAGTTGCTTCTAGTTGATAAGGAAAAGACAACAGGCTAATAGTGAGCAAAGAAGAGGAAGGAAAGGAAAAATACATAGTTCTTGAACATAAAAAGGTCTCAATCTCAGAAGAGAAATAGAATTAAAACCACATTCAGATAGCATGTTTTACCAATCAGACAGGCAAAAATCCAAAGGTCAATAATATACTGACTGTGTTGGCAAGGCTGAGGGAAAACAGGCACTCTCCTATTAGCTTGAAGTATAAAGTGGTGTATGTTTTGCAAGGTAATTTGGTGGTTTTTTATCAAAATAATGAATGCACATATACTCTGATAAAGCAAATATGCAAAAAAATTGCAACAGTAGTTAAATATTTTTACATTTCACTACATTATGTATTCAGAATATTACACCACAAATGTAAAAAAAAAGGGAGAGATCAACTAAAACTTCTAAACTTGTGTCCAGGAAAATAAAAACCTTTTGACACAGTTCAATATTCTAAGAATTAAACAAATACACAAATGAAATAAAGCTGACACTCCACTGTATAAATAGTGTAGTTATAGCTAACTACAAATAAAGACTACATCATTAACTTAAGTCCACTAGAAATGTAATAAATAAGTATATCAAAAATAATTTTAATCAAAATTATAGTGATTGAGAACATCAGTTGCCTTGAAGTAGGGTATGACTATAAAGGAATAGCTTGAGGGAGATTTTGGGGGATGAGGTAACTGTTCTGTATCTTGATTGTGTTAGTTATATAAACCTATGCGTGCGTATAAAGTTCACAGAATTGCACACTAAAAAAGATCAATTTTACTGTGTTAATTTTAAAAAGTATATTCTTAACGACAGTGATACGACTATATACACAAAAGAAGACACCTATTTTTACTTCTCTTTTCTTTAATTGCTCATTTCCTAGCAGGGGAGCTACAATAGACTGAATCAGTCAAAGTACAAGTATTGAAGGAGAAACAAAGGCTAGTTTCTAACTTGTATAACCGGTTCCACATCATGTTTACAGAAGTACAAATCACAGAATAAAACAAATCACAGAAATAGAAGGTAGGGCAAAGAATTATTTTAAAACATAAATTAATAAGGAGAACAACTTTTTTTTTCTTTCCCTGAGACATACTGAAGAAAAAGTCATGTTTTTCAGCTGTAGACAGGCCTAAAGAGATAGGTGAAAAGGACTGTGGGATTCTGCAATTTCTCCCTAGTAGGCAACAGTTCAGAGAATTGTGTTCTATAATAACAATCTTCAATCTTATTTACTTTCTGTATTTCAATTATTTTTACTATTTCTGGGAGAAAATAGCTTATGGACCATCTAATTTACCTTCTACCTGCAACTATGAGAAAATCCCAACTTGATCAAAATAAATGAAAATAATGTTTACATCTGAAATAACATAGATGTAGCTCCTGACAGTATCTATCACACATCAGTTTTAATATAATACTTCTTATCTTTCATTTGTCTTCTGTAAATGAGGCGCTAAAGGAAGAAATTTAGAAGGTGGTTGCATTGTAAGTCTTAAATATGGATTACACTGAAAATGAAGTTATGAAGCTACCAAATTCTTAAGTAGACATTCAGGAAGACAGACCTTCGTTTATTTTTAATAAGGAAAGAGATAGCGGAGCAATGACTCAGGGGCTGGAATAAAACTTTGAATTATTAAATATTTAAGTGGAGTCAGGCCATGTCTGATGAAGTTTGTAAATCCTAGCTTCAGGTAATATTTGTCTCTATAAAATCCTGTATTTTAAAAATTATGTGTCCAAACAACCATATCAACTTGCACTGGCATACTGTTTGAGTGTAAAAACATTTGAAACCTATTACCTCATTTTTTATTCAAGACTATGCTAGAGAGGCAGGTAGGCAATTATAACTTTTCCTGCAAGAGGCAACACAAGTATCTACATGACTTTGGAAAGGGTGTTTTCCGTATAAAAAGAATAAAAATCTGAATCAGCTGCAGAGGACTTTTCTCATGTCTGCAGCAAATATCTCTCTGACATAATCTGCACTTCTTACCTCTGCCTTTTGGAGTGATTTCAGCCACCAAGTCATCAACAGTAACGTGTTCTAGTCCTTTTTCTTTAATTACCTCTTATGCAAAAGCAAAAAACAAATCATATCATTTAAAATCATTATCTGTAAGAAAGATTTTCATAGAGGAAGGATTAAGATCATGTTTTTAGAGTGTAGACTGGTCTTTAAAAAAAAAGAGGACACTTTTCAACCTTATAAACACATTAAGTATTAGCTAGGTCAAAAAGATACAAGTCTGTTCTTAAGTCTCAGTTAAATAATCTGTAACTTAAATAACTACACATAGACCTGTAATGTTGAAATCTAACATTTATAAAAAGTTGGAAACTTGTAACTGCTATAATTATCATTTACCAGATATCTATTAGGTGCTTTACAACATTTAATATTCATGATAATCTACTGAACTAGGCATTTTTTTCCCACTTCACAGATGAGGCAATTGAGGCTTAAATATTAAATAACACAGCCAAACATGAGTTGAAACCCAGCTCTAGTCTTTTACCAGAGAAAATCTGTTTGACCTTAATGTCTATACTTTTACTAATTTATCACATTGTCTTCCTTCCTATGGTTAATGTATAAATAGTCTGTTATTTTTATTTGTAAAAACCATTACAATATGATGGGAATTAAAAATATCCAGAATTTCATTACTCCAAAAGCTAGGCCAGAAAGGAGGCTCATCTTAGTCACATGTGTAATCTATCAAGTGATATCATCACCAACGCCCAGCAATTTAATAAGCTTCCCTACTGCTTTTTTAAAAGTATAATTGTCTAAGAATTTTATAAATTCATTTTTCAAAATTAACACTGTTAAAGACAGGAGAGACATAATTCCTAGAAGTCTGTCAACCCCATAGTACTCGACTTATTAAGTTAAAACAAATACTAATGATGCTGAAAAACATGAAATTCCATATTTTGAGGACAGAGAAAATCTTAATCAAGTGCTCATGCCTCACTTGTTTTAAAAGAAGCACAAAGACAATTTCTAATAATTTAGAAATTATATTTACATATATTACTGAGGAGAAAAATACTTCTACAAGATCAAATTTTTTATTTGTTTAAAATTACGCTTGAGCATTCAATGTATCTTAAAATACTGACTATATACTTTTTAAAAAAGTAAACCCCAAACCAACCCAGTTCAGAGCAATGGGATTCGTTTATCTTCTAAATGAAACTGATTACCTTTACAGTGTGCCTTCAATTGATCCTTCCAGCCACATTCAATTAATTTAGCTCTCAGCAACTCTTTGAGGCTGTTGAAAAAAAGTGTTTTCAAATTAAACAAAGTACCACATGTTAGGATAGGAATGTTTGAAGCAAAGTTTCAACTGCTTAACTAAAATTTCCCTACTTTCCTGTCACAAAACCTTAATTTAACTGTGGCCTAATCTTGGTTCTATCTTTAAACAGTTCTTTGATCTTATACCAGTCATTTAAATTCTGAACCTTTCATTTCATCCCAGTCTCATTTAATGAGTAAAATTGAATGAAGTAGAGGGGGCTACAACACTTATCAAGAAGCTCTATTTTCTGGCCTTATGTAGTTTCTACTTCCCTCTACCAAGAGTAGGAGACATTAAATGAGCTGGGAGGAGCTGCACCTCTGAAATCTTAAAATTCCTAAATCCATTCTTTGACTATAACTTTTTGTATTTTAGGTATCTTATTTCCCCCATTATTTCTCTCACCTCAAAGACCACCCTCTTCTTTTATCCCACTCTGTGAAGCCCTTCTAAATTACACAATGACTATGGTATTTCACTGATTCTAAGACTATCATTTCCCCCCACATTTTTTAATGATTCAGTAATTGGCAAACCTAATGGCAGCGGAATTTTTTTTCTGTAATGGTAAACAATGGTGAATACTGCAACTAATAGCATTACAGATGCAATAAAACATTTTATCCTTTTGTCATACCCACTCTTACAAATCCTCAACCCAAAATCATTTAATTTCTCAGCTTAAAAATGTCATATTCCAAACCTAACAAATTCCCTTTCCCTGAAAACCACTTTTCTTTTGATATCCTCAGACGTCCATTATGTGACAACATTCCCATCTTGATACTTAATTAGGTCTTTCAGTCTTAATGGGGCCAAGACCCAACTTTTAATTCTCCACCCCTTCATCCTGTTCATTCTCCTTCTCAGAATGGCAACTCCATTGTTTCGGTTCTTCAGGCTAGGATGCTTGGCGGTAACCTTCCATTCAGCTCCCTTGTTAGTACCATACATTCAGTCCTTGAGCAAATCCTACTGGTTTAAGTTTTAAAATATACACCTAGAATTCAAATGTTTCTCACCATTGCTGCCATTACTACCCTAGTTCAAGCTGCCATCTTCTCTGGGCTGTTACCAAAGCCTCCTAGGTTACCTCCCTGGTTCTTCCCTTGTGCATTTCATTCTCCTCCCACTGCACTAACCCCTTAAGATCCTTGCCAATTTACTCTAACTAAAATTCCAGCAACTTACTATAGCCTAAATGATCCTCCATGATCTGCCTTCTCCTCAGTGACACCTTTGTCTCCTCTCTCCCTCATCCAATTGTACTCACTCTTCTCAGCTTCCATGTGTTCCTCAAGGATGCTGGACAAGATCCTGTCTTAGGACCCTGGAGTCCCTCCACTCCCTCTCATCTTTCAATCTCTTATCAGTACAGCCTTTTTTGTTTTTTCTATCCAAAGTACCACACCTCACTATTCTCTACTTTTGTTTCTCTAGACATGTTTATTGTCTGTCTCCTCCCATTAGAACGTAAGATCCCCAAAAGCACAGACTTTATTTTTTTTTTATTACTGTGTCTTCAGCACCCAACCATGGCATGGCACATGATAAAAATATGAATAATTAAAAATTTAAAAAATACATAATCCCTTGTACTCATTACTGGCAGTACTATCCTCTCAAGTCACCCAATGAGTCATTTCCAGATGACTCCTTCCTCTTGTTTACTTAAAAATTCGAAGTTCTCTTGTCCATTTTTGCAGTTTTCCATGTGCAACCCTATGTAATCTACCTCTTTTTTCTGCCATCTATCTTGATTCTTTCAAGTGCATTCTCCACACTAACAAAGTAAGATACCTACAGCATAAATGTCATTTAGTCATTCCCTTTCTTAATGACTCCCACCATCCAAAAATAAAGTCAGCAACTTCTGCAAACCCTGCCACCCATATAACTGCCCCTTTTTTGACAGAAAAAAACACTGCCACTTTCAATGTATGAATTTAGGTAGGGTTCTAGCAATGGAAATATGGCCAAGGCTGATCATAACTGGCCTATTACCTAAGTGAGATGGTAACCAAGCTAGGTCCTTTGCTGAAGAAGGTAGTTTGAGCTGGTGGGATATAAATTTTGAACTGCTAATCTCTGTCACCTGTAGGTAGAACCTGTTTGAGAATAGAGCCAATAGAGAAAAGCAGAGCTGAGATAAGAACACAAAGATATATTCCTGGCAACAATTTCTGAGTGCCTGGGCCCAGTGGTATATATATGAAGCAAATTCAAGCCCTAGATAAGCTTTCACCTTTTCATTGGTTAAGCATTTCTGAATTCAGTTTCTATCATTTTAGTTGAAAGAATTCTGACTCATATAAAAATCCACATTCCCCCTGTCCACTGTTTTACCCACACAATTTTCACAATTTACTCCCTTGGTTTCTCATATCTTTTTCAGTTCACAGATCATTATCACATTCTGTTCCACCTGCCTAGAATTTCTTCTCCTTTATTGGTTTAGAAAACTGATATCCTTCTGCCCCAGCTGAAGTTTTTCTTTTATTATACTGTGAGATCTGTCCTGATCACCTTAACCCCAGGGTAGAATTGAAAGGTTGTCCCTCTTCCTTACATACATATTTCTTTTATGTAGTTTTCCCCAGGAGCTGTTCTTGATCCTTAGCCTCTCTTTTGTACTTCTAAATCTGTTCATTCTTCAAGTATTTACTGGGCCAATTATGTGCCAGGTATAGCATTAGATGCTGGGTATACAATTGTTATTTCTGCTGTCAAGAAACTTAGATTACATTAAAGCATACAAACTAGTAAAGTGAGAATACAATGTGATTAATGGTATGATAGAATAAGTGATTTGGGACTTAAAACATTTCTTAAAGAGGCTGCATATAAATTGAAACAGATGATAGATGAGCTAGAATTAGCTAATAATGAGGGGAAGGAAGAAGGGTGTTTCAGAGAGGAGGAACAGCAGTTGCTCTAAGGTTAAGAGAGCGTGGTAACTAAAACTGGTTCTATCATGTTGTCTGTTAAAACCTGCGTAACATTATGTCTCAGACTGTAATTATTTGGAAATGTATTTCTGTCTTCTCCATTAGAGTATATATCCTTTGAGAGTAATTTCTTGCTCATCTTTCTACATCATCACTTTGCTCCTACTCCTGCAATACTGAACAAGCCTAAATTGTTTTTTATAGATATTAGAAATAGAAACTTTTTATAATCTCAATTTCTTGTAATTCTTCCTACTGACATGTTTTATTTCTTGTTTAGATTCTTATATTGTAACTATTAACAATGGTGAAGTGTAATTTATTAACACAACCTATTACTTACCGTTCTCTTTCTCCAGTTTCTATCAATTTTTGGTTAATCGCTGCTCTCATCTGCGCATCTTTGTTCATCTTGCTAACCTGGACATCAACATGTATTTTCAGATATGAAACATTTACAAAGCATTTTCTTCTAAATCCTCTAGGCAAGCATCCTAATACGTTTAACAATCTGTCTATGAATTGAAAGGGTGACAAATTCAAGTAAGTTAACAACATCATTGCTTTTTATTAAACACTTATGTGCCTGGTACTGAGCTAATGCTGTTGAAGTTTTTAGAAAATCATATTTAATTCCCAGAACTTAATCTGTTACATATTATTTACTTAACTTGTATTTTACTGATGAGGAAACTGAGGTACAGAGATAGAAAGTGGTAAAGACAGAATTTGAACTCAGGTATTTTAACCCTAGAAGCTCCAAAGCACATTATTTAACTGCATATAGCTGACTGCTCATCACTTCTACACTTTACCTGCATCCAAAAACTGGGGGGGGGGGGGGGAGTCACATAAACCAAATAAAAAAAAAAAAAAAGATTAAGTACTATTACTAAAAAAATGAAACTGCCAGATAAAGTTCTAAGTGCTTTACTTTGCTTTTCACTAGGATGTACCTAGAATCACAACTGCTAAAGTTAAAACTAGCTCTAAGTGTATGTGTTATCAGACACATATTGCTGGTGTGACAAGGGGAAAACCAATCTCTATCTAATTTTCCTAACTTAGAAAATCCCCAATTTTCAGTAAAAACAGGCACAAAAACTAAAATGGTGTTAAATGGAGAGGAAGGTTAGGTTTTGAAGGCATTCAAGTCACTTAAAAGTTTAAACAGGATAAAACTTAGAGTAAGGAACATTTCCCCACCTGATCTGTCACTAACTTGAGACTACTTTTGTCATCTCCCATCTCGCTCATATGAAAACTGAGTCTGGCAACGAGTTTTCAGGGTTGACTTTTATTGTTTTTGAGAGAGAGCAGAGAAAAGGAGGGGTTCAGAAAGAACTAGGAAATGTTTGCTTTCATCGCTGGGGGCTAACAGTTTCAAAATAACTATCAGGTCTAGTCAGTACCATTCCTGGAACACTAAACTCGATCTCGCCTTGGTCCCTAAAAGACGGATAGTGACCTTGGACAAGTCACTTAATTCTCAAAGGCCTCAGTTTCCTCACTGGTAAAACAAGGGCGCTAGGGGATCCCTCCCAGTTCAGACATTCTTGGGGGAAAGAGAGCAGGGCGGAGACAGCGGGAGAGGCGGGAGGGGAGGAGCCAGAAAACAAAGCGAGGACTGGCTTCAGGCCAACTCCGGGAGCACGCCCTGTCGGAGAGCCCTACAGGCCCGCGAGCGCGGGTCGGGGAGGCTAACGAAAGACAGAACATCGAGAGGAGCCTGGGCTGGGCCCGGGTCCCGGCCCTGAGGACCACGGGCATAGCTCACCACCATCACCGCGGGCGAGGGCCGTCCCTTCCCAGCGACGAAATGACCCTTGCGCTGACGACCGTTACCTACCACACTCTTCGGCTGCCCGGACTTAGACCCTCAGTCGCTCGGGCACCTAAGCACACAGAAAGCTAGCACACGCATTTCCGGGGCGGGATCTTGCCACCCTGCCTCTAATATGAGAATTTAACCTGTGCGGGCCGCCTCCCGGTCGCTCAGCCCTCTGGGTAAGCGAGTCCAGCCCCTGCTGTTGTGCGGGGGCTCTGAGACCGCGGGAAACTACAAAACCCAGCAGGCAACAGGGTCAACTTTCTCACGAAGACTACATTTCCCAGAAGGCAGTGTGCACCGCAGTGTTTTCTGGGGTGGGAACCACGCCGCTTCCCAGCCTCTCTGCGAGGAGCGAAGCGCGGACCTTTCAACAAGAGCTTCATTAATTTTCACGCCGGGACACAGGAAGGCGATGGAGGTGGCGGCAAATTGCTCCCTGCGGGTGAAGAGACCGCTGTTGGATCCCCGCTTCGAGGGTTACAAGCTCTCTCTCGAGCCTCTGCCTTGTTACCAGCTGGAGCTTGACGCAGGTGGGAAGCGGCGGCGCCCCCTCACCCTCCGTTCCTTTCGGCTGCCGTGGGCCCGACCCTTCCCGCATTTTCTTGCTGTTTGGTTCTGGCAAGCGAGGCGACGTGGCTTTCCTCTGGCTGGGTTGGGCCCACGGTGTCCGCTTCTGGAGAAGGATGCCCCTCTCAGGACCTCGCGGGATCCTCCGCGCGGCTCTTCCTTGGAGGGACCCTAGGCCTGGCTCGGAGGGCTGACTCGCGGTTGCTACCTGGGCTCCGGCCCCCTGGTGTCCTCGGTCGCCTGTGGGCCTACGCCTGGCTCTGTCTCGGGCAAAACTCGGGACCTTCTTGCTTCCTGGAGCATCATCTGTTAACGTGTGCGTTGAGAAACCACACCTCCTTGGAGGACCCTCTTCCCCCCCACCATTCCCCATCCCCAGCTTCCCGCTCGTGTTTCCTCTGACGGAGAGCTGTTTCTTAGAAGAGAAGCTGCGTTCCAGGCAGAGCATTTTCAGTTGCTCAGCTCCTGGCACAGCAGAAGCTCTGTCGTAGAGAACGTCTCTGGGAAATGTTGAGAAAAAATCGATTTTCGTTTTTACAACGTAAAGAATGGACAGCTTTGCTACTGATAGATCCCGGAAGTCTTCGTTTTTTTCATACACATCCCTGGTGATTCTCATGCATGTTGTCAGTGATCCCACTTTGAGAAATACTGAGCTAGAGTTAACTGATAGACATCAGAGTATCAAACAAGTGCATGTTGGTTCGTTTATTAAACGTCGACCACGTGCCTGTTTTTTGTTACATGCTGATGGTGTCCAAATTAATAAGATACTACCCATACCCGAAGGAGGGCTATTTTCTGGTTAGGAAGAGAAGTGTTAGCAGATAACTGTAAAACAATATAGAGAAGCCAGTAGTAGGGAGTTGTACAAAACACAATGGTAGTACTTGCATATCTTTCCTAAACCTGTTTGGGGAATCAGAGAAAGCTTCCTGGAGGGGAACCTAAGTTGAGCTTTGAAGGATAGATGGGAGTTGACCAGGGTAAAAGAAGATAAACTTGATTTTTCTTTTTATTTACTTCCTTTTCCTCTTTCCTATTGTGTTTTTCCAGTCTTCCTGTGTCAGTAGGCGGTACTGCCTTGTTTAGTTAGCTGGTGCATTAAAAAGCAAGACAAAACTCAAATGCAGTGGCTCAAATCTAAGGTCAGTCAGCCATGCTGTTTCTTCAAGTGCTGGCCGAATTCGTTGGTGCATCTTTGTTCAGTTTGTTTGCCTGCTAGGCAGCCCTGCCCGTCTTGGCTGGACTTCCTCAAATGTTTGGGGGCGGGGGTGTGGGGGGGAGTGTCTCACACTATAGGCTAGTTTAAGATTATTTCAGATAATCTCCACTTAACTCCTCCCAGTGTGCTCTTATCCTTCGGCAGGCTACCCTCGGTTAGTTCCCAGAGACAGGTAGTAATGTGTAAGTCCTATTTCAAGCTACTGCTCTACTAATGCCGTATTGGCCTAAGCAAGTAAATAATCAAGCCTAGAGTCATTGTGGAATAGTCTTAACAAAGGGCATAGGTCCAGGGAGGTATAAACAAATTGAGACTCAGTGCATGTCTCTTAGTTGCTCATGCTAGAATCATTTGGGGTTTTTCTTTTCTTTTAGTCCCTGTCCAATTTGACCGCAAGTCCAGTCAACTCCAGACACATCTCCATATCTCCACCCTCGTCCAAATCAAATCCTAGTTATCTCTTACTTGAACTATATGTAGTAGCCTCCTGAATAGCCTTCCTGCCTGCACTTTTGGGCTTCTTCCTTCCATTCTCTGTAAGACAGTACTTACCATCCTTTTAAATTCTGTATTGATTTATTTTGTTTCCTTCACTGCACTGTGAACTCCATGAACACAGTGATGTTTCTCATTTGCTCACTACTGTAATGCTGGGCACGTAGTAGGTACTTAATAAATTGCGTGAACGAAGGAGAGATGAAATTGTTGAGGTCATTCCACTCATGGGAAAGCATGGGCGATGAATGTGAAAGAGAAGGAATTACTAATAGGCTGTATGTTGAACTCTAGTGCAGTCTAATGTTGAAGCAAAAAAATCTTGGAGAGTGACAGGAGATAAATCAAGGAGGGTCCTGTTTGCCCTTTGGACTTTATCCTGGCAGTGTTTCCCAGACTTTTTTGTGTTAGATCATTAAAGTACAAAAGAAAACCTAGCTGTCATAGTTTTACCAACTTTTAAATGGCTCACTGAATAGTTTTTAACTAAACTAATTAAATAGTTAAGTAAACTATTTAAATGTAGTTTTTAAAAACTATGTGCCCATCTTTTTATAAACAAAAGGATGTTTTTAACACCAAAAAAACAGGAAGCAAAATCTCACAATAAATAGTTATCTGAGTTGAACACATTAATTTTATAAAGAACTCACATGTTGTCCTTTTTTCACGTTTCACCAGTTTTAATCTTAGATTCAGTGCTTGGGAGGCACAACCGGAGAGTGTGAGGTGGCATGGGAAGGTTTTAAGTATTGAAGGGAAATGAACAGATTTGGAGGTTGAATAGTTTTACACTGTGGTGGTTGAGTTTGGAAGATGGGAGGAATGGAGACAGAAAACAGTTTGGAAACTTTGGCAATAGTTCTTGTGAGGGGCTTTCATTAACAATTACATGAAGGGGATGAAGAGGTTAATTATTTTAAAAACTATCATTTCTGGGGATAGTGAGGTATAATTGAGAAGCTGCTGATAGTTTGATTTCTTTTACTCTAACCCAGGTTCACTTTAATTCCTCAAACCTCTAGTGGGCATCTTGGGTGTGTGAAACATTGCCTTTAAGATGTGAAGTTGAAGATGTAGTCTCTGGTGTCAAAGAACTTGGCACACTGAAACTTATTCTCTTGTCTTAATGTTATTAAGTTGTTCCAAATTTCTCTCTGCTGCATAAACAATAAATGTCACTTTGTCTTTTTCTATTCCAAAGAACTAAGCAAAAAGCTTTTTTAAAAATAAAATTGTAATTGCCCTTTGATTGAGCAAATCCATTTCTGGGCATTTATCTTATGAATGTTCTTTCCCTAGAATCTTCATTTAGTATATTTTCCCCTTACTTTTCACCCACATGTTACTTCTTCAGGGATTCTTTTCTTGAGTATCTAGTTAGAATTTGTATGCTGTAGGATCTGTACAAATTAGAATTTGTACCATACTTTCTCATAGTAACCAGTACTTCATAGGCTTTATTACACTTTGTAGCATTCGGTATCTGTTTTCTCTGCTAAGGCTATTAGTTCTTTATTGAAGGGTCCTGTGCCCATCATTTCAATGTTTAATCTCCTGGGTTAGAGCATGCCTGGTAAGTAGCGGATGATTTTGAGTCATACATACATTAAACAGCTTTATTGAAATATAATTGACAATAAACTATACAAATATAAAGTGAAAATTTGTCAAGTTTTGATACATATATACACCCATGAAGTCATCAGCACAATCAAGATATTAAACTTAACTATCATTTCCAAAGTTTCCTTGTATCCTTTTGTAACCATCCCTCTTCTACATGGAATCATACACTGTATACTATTTGGGGTCTGTCTTTTATTCAACATAATTATTTTGAGATCATCCTTACAGAATGAGAGAGGGATAGTGAAAATTTAATTGTTGGTTTTTCTATTTCTCTTTGCAATTTTATCAGTTTTTGCTTTATGTATTTTGGTGTTACTAGCTGCATTGTTACTATGTCATCTTGGTAAATCGACCTCTTTAACATTATGAAATAACCTTGGTGATATTCCTTGCCCTGAAACCTGTCTGATATTAAAATAATCACTTCATCTTTCTTTTGATTGATGTTACCACAGTATATCTTTTTAAATTTATTTGTGCCTTTGTATTTAATATGCATTTTTTATTGGCAGAAATAGATTTCGCTTTTTTATTCAATATGATAGTGTATCTTTAATTAGACTTTACATTTAATGTAATTATTGATTTGATTAGATTTGGGTCCTTAATCTTATTGGTATTCAGCTTATCCCATCTAGATTTAGAAGAATGGAATTTTCCCACTTTTCTGCCTTTTGGATTGACTATTTTGAGTTTTTTTTTCACTTCCTTTTTTGGCATATTAGCTATATTTCTTTGTTATTTTAGTGGCCGCTTTAGGGTTCATAATATATATCTTTAACTTATTATCTTTTAAATAGATTTAAATGATTTAAAATAATCTTTTAGATGCATTCATATAGTTGCTGCTTCTAGTGTTCTTCATTACTTTATGTAGTTTCATATTTTTATCTGGTGTAATTTTTCTTCTGCCTGAAGGACTTTTAGTATTTCTTGTAGTATGTGTCTTCTGGTAATGAATTCTTTTGGCTCTTGTAGTCTGAAATAATCTTTTTTGGTTTTCAAAAAAAGTCATCTTATATTGTTCTGATGAGAAATCTGACATTATCTTTTTTTTTTTTTTGAGTTGGAGTCTCACTCTGTTGCCCAGACTGGAGTGCAGTGGCCGCTCCCGGCCACCACAGCCTCGACCTGCTGGGCTCTGGCGATCCTTCCACCTCAGCCTTCCAAGTAGCTGGAATTACAGGCATGTGCTACCACGTCCTGCTGATTTTTTGATTTATTGTAGAGATGAGGTCTCACTGCCCAGACGGGTCTCGAACCCGCAGGCTCAGGCAGTCCACTCACCTCAGCCTACCGAAGGCGCGGGATTACAGGCTGAGCCACCGAGCCCAACTGACATTATCTTTTTTGCTCTCTGCATAGCATGACTTTTTCCTCTGGCTGTTTTTAATATTTTTCTCTTTTACATTGGTTGCATAATGTTGTGCCTATGTTTGTCTTTCTTTAATGATTTTTATGCTTGAAGTTTGTTGAGCTGTAACTGTAGGCTTACAGTTTTCATGAAATTTAGAAAAATTTTGATCATTATTTCTTTTGATTTCCCCCCCTTTTTTTTGAGGACTCTTATTACTCACTTTTAGGCTGCTGGAAGTTGATCTCAGCTCATAA